CCTCGTGAACGCAATGACCGCAGCGTGGTAATACTTGCATCTGAAATTTACCTTCAAACGAATATTTCAGAGTTTCCATCCTTAGAAAAAATTGTCATTCAAACAAGAAAATATTATATCACATAAACTAGGTCTCAACTAATCTGAGACATCATACCTTGCATTTGACCAATCGTCAGATCTTTGTCAAGACGATCCACACCTGTGTCAAAAATTCGATCTTTATATTGTTAAGTGTCAAAACTTCTTACGTAGATCAAAGATATAGTTTCTGAAGCGCGCAAGGGAAATGGTTAAAAAATTAAATTGTCCGCGATTATATTCATCAAAGGCATGGAGCTTTTTAGTCACGTAAATCATCTAACATTCAACCAGAACAACAATAAAAGTTTCATCATCATCATCATCCTCACCTTCAGTATCAAAGTAAAATAAACAAACAAACAAATAGGCAAAAAAAAATTGAAATCCAGAAAATTATATTTGATTACCTGCCAAGATGAGAAGCTTTGGAACAGGACACGATAAGAACAAATTGGACATGCCTTTAAACCAGCCTTCAAAATTAAAAAGATAGAAAATAAAAACAAATAAAACTGATAGACAAAAGGGAAATATATACACCTGCTTTACTCACGAAACGGGGGGGGCATACTTAGTTCCTCAGTTCACCCACAAGGGTGGAGACTCTTGGACTCTTGTTATTTGTTAGAGACTTCATTTCTTCAGAGGTGTAGAACAAGGGGAAACGAGAAATGATCCCAACTTTTAAAACCCACAATTCCAGGGCTATAGAAGCGGAGATGCATACTCGCAGGATTTTGTAGCCCTATCAAAGTACACGTCACATTTCCATCAGTGTTCACATGGCGAGAAGTGCACGTCCGAGTAATCTTAGACTCACCTTCCCAAAACTGATCAGTCTTGGACAAGTCAATCCTCCAAATAAATCTCTCATCAGCCCTCTAAACGACAAATACCCAAACAATGAAAAAAGATTTGAAGTTAGTGCCTTGCGTGGAACTCTGGAAGTATGGTGGGCGTTGATCATTTTGACTCACGCTACAGACTTCGCCGAGAAGCAGGGACTGCTGTAGTCTATCATTTCTGTAAAACGTCTCACTAACGGCAGCATAAAAGTGCTTACAACATTTACACACGCAAAGCAGTTCTCCTTATAGCTCCGTTGGTTCTGCCCAATGTGTAGCAAGATGCGATGCTTTTTAGATAGTTTTCTCCAGTCAGACTTTTTTTTACCAACAATTCTGTAACTCGATTTATCCTCTTTTTACAGTATTTGAATCATTTTTCTGTTTGATTAACTGGTGAGTGTGATATAGATAAGGTGACAAGAAATAAAAAGATTAAGAGCTTACAAATTGTAATCGTGAATATTTATAAAAGAATACTTTTGGGGGGCATGAGGGTCGGGATATTTGAATGCAAATAGGCCTGTGGGTGATTATAAGAGCTAGCACACTGAAATGAGATATTTGTTAACAACATACGTAACACCCCTAAATCTAATAAGAAGAGGTAAAAAGGAAGAAAGTAGGGGAAAAAGGGAACGGGGGAGGGGTAAGAGAGAAGGGGGAAGGGATTAAAGGGAACTGGGGAGGGGTGAGTGGGAAGGGAGATGGGGTAAAGGGTAACAAGGGAGTGGTAAGAGGGAAGGGAAGAGAGAAGGGGGAGTGGTAAAAGGGGGAGTGGTAAAAGGGGAATAGGGGAGGGATGGGAGGGAAGGAGGAGGGGTAAAGGGGAAGGGGGAAGGGATTAAAGGGAACTGGGGAGGGGTAAGTGGGAAGGGAGATGGGGTGAAGAGGAACGAGGAAGAGGTAAGAGGGAAGTGGGAGTGGTAAAAGGGGAATAGGGGAGGGATGAGAGGGAAGGGGGAGGGGTAAAAGGGAACAGGGGAGGGGTAAAAGGGAACAGGGGAGGGGTAAAACGAAACAGGGGAGGGGTAAAAGGGAACATGTGAGGGGTAAAAAGGAATGGGAAAGGGGTAAGAGGGAAGGGGGAAGGGGTAAGAGGGAACTGGAGAGAGGTAAAAGGGAACAAGAAAGTTGTAATTGGATGGCCAGAAAATTTAGAATTAAAGATAACTTCAATAGAAACAGGGCACTGCTGCTGCTTACCTTCTGCCCTGTATCCACCTGACTATTCCCTGCATACACCACAGTCGAAGCTTTTGTATTGACTGTTTCTTCAGATTCTTCACTAATTGTATCACAGGCATGTGACAGTGGGGGAGAAGTTGGACACTCACTATTTACTTTATCTTCACTGTCACCACTACACCTGTTGGTTTTAAACACAATTTTAATCGTACTTGAATGTAAATATAACTGCAGACTTAATCAACCAAAACAACAGAGATTACAAGCATTAATGTCTTTGTCAAAAGCTTTCCACCACTGACTCAGATGAGAAGATATTAAATTCACCTGACTAACTGTCCAGCCATGGATATACGCGCTGATTCCACATTGTGGACCTGGCCACTTCGTATACTGCAATTGTAAAAACATGAAGAAAGGTCACATCATATAACATTTGGTCACCATTGGCTATACCCCTTGAAAATGTAAACTCAAGTAATTTTTGCTTCAAATTTAGCCCTGGAAGAATTAAACAAAAGAAATCACATTGAGGCTGAGGGATGATAAATAAATTTATTCTGTTTTATTCTCCCTAGCCTCTGAGTCATGTTAGAATTTTAAGATATCAAAAATGGCAGATTGGCCTCTGTCATTTGGATTATGAAAACTGAAGGAAAATGAAGGAAATCTTGTTTTAGACTGGTCCTTCATCCCATTTCAGAATACCTCCATTCTATTCCTTCTTCCAGTGATTGAAACGAAGATGGTCTGCTTCTCAAAAAAGACTGCATAGCAGACAATGCTTCCATCGCCGTCCCTATATGTATATAAACAAACAAATTTCTCCATAAATCCAGAGCTTTTTCTAAATAATACTCATATGCCTATTAAGTTACTGCCTGGATACAGTTTCGTGCTGAAAGTATTTAGCTCTCATTGAAAATTGTTAACCTTACTTCATCGTAACACAACTGACTAGTGACTTCTTGCACCCCACTTGTTCATACCAAACTGGTGTAAGCAGATATAAATTGGAAATTATACTAGGATTAAATTGGTCTTCTTTCACCACAGTCTTTATTTGGTCTAGAAAACTCATGTCATCCACTTGACCAAACAGATGTAAATTGCATTTTGCCATTGTGAGGTTAAGTTTTCCTGTTTTAGCTCTGGTTGTCATTGGCTACTTCTGATATTTTCCTTCAATCTGATCAGCAATAATAATTGTGATCACTCTGACTGGTGTTACTTTTAATTACTACATTCATTTTAAATGCACTCCATGTACTTTTTTATTAGTCTCTCTCACTCACCTTCCACTACATCAATAACAGCTAGTCCAGCTAAAGAGGTACTCAACAGTTTTTGAACTCCAACATGAACAGCAATGGCCCCACCCATGCTGAAAACAAGAAATTACTATCATTAACCCTTAAACTCCCATGAGTACC